TCCCTAAGTTTTCTGCTACTGGGTGAATGTACTGTCAGGAGGAAGAGAGAGAGAAAAGTGAGAAATCTCCCCCTCCAGGGGGATGGCCACTCTGTCTGTCTCTCTTTCTCTCTCTAGCAAGTACATGCATCCTCAGACCAAAATAATAAAAAACATGAATTTGATTAGAACATTTTTTGTCTCTTATTTTTGTTTTATTTATTTGTATTTAATGTTACTTATTTATTCATTTTATTTTAATTTGAGAGAGAGAGAAAGTGAGAAAGCAAGCCACCAGATTCAGGACTCGAACTGTGGTTGACCACGTGGGAGTGTCTAGGGCCTTAACCATCACACCACCTGCTGGTCCCTTGTTTTTGTTTTTGAGAGAGGTATTTGCTATAGGTCATGTGTGCTTGCTAGAGAAACAGAAAGAGAGAGAGACAGAAAGCAAGACATCACCCCCCAGGGGGATGGTCACACTGCAATCCCTTCTCCTCCATTCTCCTCTTGGGATTTTGGGGCACACATGCACAAATGCCTCATGTGAGTTTAAGCCATGGGGTCCAGGACTGTAACCATGGTTGATCACATGGAAGTCCAGCAATGTAACCATTATGCCATCTGCTGGTCCCAAATTTTTGTCTTTTTAATTAGTTACAGTATGGGTGCATGCAAGGGAAAGTGAGCGAGAGAGAGAAAGGGAGAGAGAGAGAGATGAGAGCCCTCCAGAGGGCCTGGTCACGTGATCCTTTCTCCAGTCCTCCAGCCCACTGAGTCTTGCATACTCAGGCACATGCCTGGAGTGTTTCGGGCTGATCAGGTTTGGTAATTTCAACTGCAGTAGCCACGTGGGATTTAGCGTCTCCTGAGCAGCAGTTCGCCTCTATGCCAGAGCTGGCCTGGTTAATTAATTTTAAACTACAACTAATGGGACTGATGGGTAGCATAGTGGTTAAGGTGTCGGACTCTCATGCGGCTGATTGCAGTTCAAGTACCAGAGCTGGTTGCTTAAAACTCACACTGGGCGCATGCGTGTGCGCACACTTAGGATCCCAAGAGGAGAATGGAGAAGGGATAACAGCATGGCCACTCCCCCAGGGGGTGACTTCTCACTTTCTGTCTCTCTGTATTTCCAGCAATCACATGCATCCTATAACAACAACAACAAAAATCTCTCAATAAATAAATAAATAAATAAATAAAATAACCACTAACAGCTCCACTTGATGTCAAAGGTCAATACTACCTCCAACTATCACATGATGATCACTGGGACCAGATACTTGTAGCGGCTAAAGAAAATGCTGCCTTTAGCACAGGTTTCCACAAAGAACACTATAAATGAAATTAATAGTCATTTCCAAGGACACAGTTCTCAATTTTAAGGTCACCCCAAGGAGATGCACTGAGTTCCTCGCTGAGCCTCAACAAAATGGGCCCTGCCTGTGAGAGCAGCCTCTTGGTGAAAACCACAGCTCTCAGCTGGTACTGACTTGAGTCCTTCAGGAAATCTGTCTGAGGTCTCTAGAGTCCTGTAGCCGGGACTGGGCAGAAGGCTGGGTCTGTAGTACAAAGGTTAGCTGGCCACACACTGTCCTTGCAGCGCAGAAGCAGCCAGGACTTGTATTCCAAGATTACAACTCCAACAAGGAGTTGAAGATGCTCTCTGTAGTGAGGGAGGACAGACATGACCTCAGCTGCGGTCAGTTCACTTCAGGTCCATCCCCGACCCCCAGCAACTTGCAACTCTGGTGGATAAAGGGCGATGGAGCTGGGCTGGGTCCCTTTGGCCAGCAGAAGTGATGGTGAACCAGAAGAAAACAGGTACTTTCAAGCCTACACCCTTCCTCTGTGGGTTCCAGGACCTCAGCCCCCTGTAGGATGAAAGGGCTGACAGAAGGAGAACCTGAGAGGTGAGAAAAGGTCTGCCAGTGAAAGCTGCTGCCCAGTTCCGCCTACCTCTTTCCTCAGGACCACCATCCTAGCTCTCTTCCACTTTCCATTATCATAGCCAGGAGGCCAAACAGAACCCTGGATCCAGGCCAAGTCTTTACTGGAAACAACTAGCCAACTGCAAACACTAATTATTATGAGCACAGAAAAACATAGCCTAGCACAAACGCACTTTGTGACAAGTGCCAAAAGCTTCTTTATTACCGACCATAATGACACTAGTAAAAAGCATAGCCAGAGCTTTCTGACGTAGCACGTCCCCGTCTGGGCCTGTGGTGGTGATGGGCTCAGAACAGGCCAAGGAAGTGCCTTTCAGCCAGCGTCCAGGTGTGTCCACTGTGTCCAATCTGCCCTCTTGTGTGCACACCACCATGATCCTGCTCACACAGGGACTTCCCGAGCAAGTAAGCCTGTAATCGCAGCATGCACATAGCCATGAGGAAGAGCCCTCTACCTCACCAGTCTATTCTACTCCTCACGGAAGGTCCCAGGAAAGCTTCCTTGGCCAGCCATCTGGGCATGGTGGGGCTGGAGACTACAGAGTATGTAGTACAAGAACAAATGAAACTCTCTTTTACCTAGATGGTGAACAAAATGGTTTTAGAGGCCATGATTGTTATAAGAAATATGAAAGAGCCTTGCCCAGATTCCCTAACTTCTCACCTGTGGGGAATATTATGACACTGAAGCTAAACTAAATATAAGCTATTCTAGCCGCTCCAGGCCACAGGATGGCAACAGGGTCCTTGCTCAGTTCAGACCTCTCTCTCCCTCTCTCTCTCTCTCAACTGCCAGAGGGCAAGTGCATTTACTAGAGAGAGAAAGAGAGACAGACACAGAGAGAGAAAGACGGAGAAAGCATCTCCTCCACCCCCTCAAATGGGGTCTGGTCATGTCACAATCCCTTCTCCATTTCTCCAACCTGTAGTGATTCTGAGCATATGTATGCATGCACACGCATACACACACACACACTCAGCATATTTTTCAAGCTGACAGGGCTGTGACTTGAGCCACAGTCAGCCATGCAGGATCCAGTTCCCTTAACCGTTAGACCACAGGGCTAGCTTGGTGTGGCACAGATAGTGCTCATGTGTGGAGTTTGTTCTGTGCTCTGGATTTGCTGCATGTGAGGTAATGGTCATAGCAAAGTCACCACCTGACAAAACTGTCTCTAGAGACTTCCGGTGCTCACCCTTGTAGCACCACGAGTAGTCTGGTCTTCTTGCGGATGTAGGCTGACTGGCGGGGGGGGCGGGTCGGCCTCCAGGGCACTGGAAAGGTATCTCTGGAAGTGGGCCGCATGGAAACATTCGGAGCTGTCCATGACTTGGCGGTACACCATCCACCTGGAAATAGCAATTGCGATCTCAGTGTGGGACTGCCTGATGGCCTGGTCCCCTAGGTTCAGCCAGGACACTGCATAGTGACTCTGTATAGGAGAAAGCAATCCCAGCACCATAGAAAAAGGTGGTGGCATCATGAAACCACTATCATTGGGGTTTTTGACAGAAAACTCCTTGCCACAGGAAAGAGGGTCAAGAACATGCATGACCAACACCAGAGGTGAGAAAGACTTCTGAGCAGGTGGTCACTTCCTGAAGGACCACGCGATAAAATGGCTTCAGTTTGGTGCTTGGGAAAATTCTTGGTAAGGATAAGAAGTGGGCAGAGCAAAGATTCAGAATGTTTATAGAAAAAAGCACTAGACGTGAGAACCTAGTAAGTCACTTAATACTTGAAAAACGAGGCCCAGTGTTTCCCTGGCGTCTCTCCTAAACTTGCCTCTCCCTTCTGCACAATATCCCACCCTCTAGGTCATTTCAGTGTTCTCAATTTATCTGCAGCCTCCTGCAGAATGCTTTAAATGCCTGGTTCAGTGAACAAGGGTGGTTTAGAAGCCTGCCAGCCAAGTGGAGGCGATAAGCGAATGATTTCCCCAATTTCACAGGGGCCACCACGTCCCAGTGGTGCCTGAACTCCCATGGTCCCCCTGTGGTCACGGCAGGATGAGTACCTCCTCCAGTTCCCATCTTCTTCACCATCATGGCCCAGCATGTCCCTGCTGACCAGGCTCACTCCCTGGCCTCTGTGCTTTCCAGCAGCTACAGTGCTCTCCCCACATAGCCACGAGGCTCATGCCCTCACTTCTGTAGGTCTTTGCTTGAAAGTCACCTGCTCAGGAGAATCTTGCCTGACCGCTCAATTAATAACTGGAATCCCACTCCCGGTCCTGCACTCCCTACATTCTTCTCTGCTTAATTTTCTGCAAGGTATGCTTCGCTAGCTAATACATTATGCTTTCCTAAAGTGATTGTCTATCTTCCCAAACCAGATCACAAGATCCGTGAGGACAGAGGTTTTCTTGCCTGAGTGTTCAGTGAGGTATTCCCTCACACTCAAAACAGTGCCTGGCATACAGGGGGTCTTTGTTCATTCTGGTTTGGGAAGACATGGCTAAATGAATGATTGGGACAGATGACTACTATGTGATACCGGTCACACCAGTACATATCTAATTTTCCTCAATGCACACAATTCCTTTTCCCCAAATAAAGGCAGCAGCCATACTAACCTGCCATATTCCTTATGCAGATTGACCAGAAAAGCACAGAGCTCGCTGGCATGACAGCCTGGGAGACCAGTTACGATGTTGATAATTACCTACACGAGAGAGAAGTCTTGTGGGTTGGCAATTCAACAGAGAGAGAGCATTGTGTACTGACTTTTGGAGCCAGGCTCTGTGGGCTTTAACCTCAACACCACCACTAACTGGCTCTGTGATCCTAGGGCAATGACAGAAAGCTTTGTAGGACAGGTGTGAGGATTAACTGAGATAACACAGGCAAAGTGTGCAGAACAGTGCCTGGCACACAGCAAACACCATTAGAAATGTGTTGCTACTACTCTCAATTTCTGTGAAGCAGATTGTGAATATATCATTCAAAATATAATGCATTGGGGCCAGCAGGTGGTGTGGTGTTTAAGGTGCTGGATCCCACATGGCCGACTCTATGGTTCGAGTACTGGACCTAGTGGCCTGAAAAACAGGCAAGTATGCAAGAGTGCCCAAAATCCCAAGAGGAAAAGGGATTGCAGGTGGCCATCTCCCCCCAGGGGGTGATTTCTCACCTTCCCTCTCTCTCTGGCGAGCACATGTACCCTATGACAAAAATAAAAAAATCTTTTTTTTTTTGAGAAATCATCCTCTAGGGGGGATGGTCACGCCGCAATCCCTTCTCCTCCATTCTCCTCTCGGGATCTTGGGCATGTACACACACGCGCCCGGTGTGAGTTTTAAGCCACCGGGTCCGGGACGCAAACTGCGGTCGACTATGTGGGAGTCCAGCGACATAACCATTACACTAACTGCTGGTTCCCCCAAGAAAAAAAATCTTAAAAAAAAAAAATATGAGTAAGCCTACCTGCTGGGGCCACAGATCTCTTTTGTGAAGCACATTCAGGAACATTATGACTTATTTCCAACAATACCACTTCTTAGGAAAATAACAGGCAAAAAGAAGGTCTGGGACAAAAATGCTGTGGGCTACACTGTTGTGGCAAACTTAGCAGAAGAGAGGAATGCCACTGGGGGCATTTGTGCCCAGCTGCTCCTGCTGTTTAAGCCACATGGCCCAGGCTAAGTCGAAATTCACTGGATGCAGGAAGTACTCTGAGAAGGAGGGGAGGACCCAGGCTGGACTGTCTAATCCTACCACATGTCCACAGGAAAACAGGCCCCTCTTCAGGCAGATATTCCAAAGCAACTTAAGAAAGTCACTGAAAAAGAAGGGAGCAGGCCAGGGAGGACAGGAACCATGTGATCACTGAAGGATGTCTATGCACACAACATGTCATGGCCAGCGCCTCTTAAGTACATATTTTATTTCGCAAGACATAAGATTCATTGGGACAGACCCAATCACAGGTAACCTATGCTAAAGCTAAAGGGGCTTAGCACCTTGAGCTGGTCACAACAGCACACAGATGGCTGTGGATCCTCTTCCTTTGTGGGAACAGCAGCTCTCCCTCCTCCCCGGATCAGGGCCTCTACACTGCGCCCCTTTCTGCAACCTTGGCAGTACTCTGTGCAATGAACCTTTTGTTTACCCTTCTCCCATCCTGCTTCCTCTTCTTGGCAGAGAGGAGGAAATGGGCGTTTGGCTCCCACTCCTCAGTGCCCAGGTCTCAGTCCCTCCAATCACAGCATAGACATGCACAGCCACACATTTCCTTATAATGTGCAAGTCCTAAAGGACCTTTTAAATAAAATGTAGCGAGTAGGCATTTTCAGGGTTTTTACACTCTTCCCTTAAGGGCAAGAGCAATGTTTCTAATTACTTGATGCTTCTATTTCCTTTTGCAGTTAAATGTCTTCTAGATTTGCAGAGAAATAAATACCCTCTTTGAGTCTATTAGGACATACAGCTCCACAAGAATGGTAGAGGGGGCTAAGAGGACAAAAGCCAGAGGCGGGAGTGGACTGAAATCCACTCTGGGGCAGGCGATGTTTATGAAGTATCACCTTACCCTGTGATTTCACCCAGGCCCGAATAACATGGGTGCCCTTCCTCTTATTGAGCACAATGTATCAGTCACTGCCAGGTAAGTCTCTGCCACAGCCAGAAAGAGCTATTGGCATGGGAGCACTAAGGAGAAGCAAGGGGAGGGCACGGCAAGATGCCAGGGTTTTATCACTGTCATGGGGCTTGGTGTGGCACACTCATTGTCCAGAGCGGGTTTCATGTGTATCATTACATCAGTATCCAAGGAGGTGGAGACGCTTATAAAAGGGAGTCCACCTGAGCCCCTTTTGTTAACTGATACAAAAGCTCCAAGGGCAGGCTCTCAGGATTATCTTCCTGTGATTTCCCAGCACATTTGGTGAGCTCCTCTACCTTGTCATTTTCCACTCTGGGAGCAAGATTCATTTCGGCTTGCTGCAGCAGGATAGGGAGATGGGTGCGCATCACCGGCTCTCGACTAATGCTGCCGACAGCGAAGTGCTGGAGAAACCTGAAAAACAAAGATGATGCTATTATGTTACCACCACCAGCCTTCCCTAATGTGCCCACTCACATGAGACACTTACAAGCTGAAAAATAAACCTCACAGAGTCTCTTTAGAAAATAAAATTATATATGGCATGTCACTACCTTTAACAGTGATTCCTAAGAAGTTAACAAGAAAAAGGAGCTTAGAAAAGACCAACATGGAGGTTTCTGACATTTCAAAAGCCAGAACATTAAACACGTGGAAACAAAGCAGAGCTTACCAGTCCAGCTCTGGGAGTTTGGCTGAGAGTAGCTTCAGAGAGCTCCACTTCTCCCCAGCAGGGTGGCTCAGGGCACTGAAGAGCTTCTGTGCACTGGAGTGCCTGGAACAGCAAAGGCTCACAGATCAGAGCTCCAGCTCCCTACGGTACACGTACTTTATCCAACGTGTTCTAAGGCTTTCAAGACAGAGACCTGTGACAGTGTCAACTCCTTCAAAACAAGCACTGCCCGACTTAAAACAAAAATGTGGCACTGGTGCATGACGATTGGTGAGCCCACATAGAAAGGGTGGGCTGCAACCCCTTGGCGATGCTATGAGTTTTTGATTTGTGGTGGGTTTCATCTCTCTTGCCTTCTATTTCCCCAAGGGCACTGGCTACCTACAAGTTGGTAGCACTGTTTTGGCCTTTCAGAAGCCAAGACCCCTGTGTTACATAAGACACATCATCCTGCAGAGAGAGCACGCCCACAAAGCTTAGGGAGGCAAGCACAAACAGTGAAGGCAGCCACTTACAATCTCTTTTGTTCCACAGATAATCCATCTTCCTGGATCACTTTTAAAGAGAGCCCTGAGTTATCCTGCTGTTGCCAGGGGGAGAAGACCTAAACAAAACAGAATTTGAGCAAAGAACACTTTAAACCCAACAACAGGATATGGAACCCACATGGGGATTTGATGGTTGTTGAAAATCTAGACTGTCAGTACAGAGGAAAAACCATTAAAACAAACGAGTTTGCTTTAAAAATAGAGGCCTGAAGCAATTCTGCTGTTTTTTTTGAAACCAGAATGTCCTTCTGGGTTCCTCTCCTCAGGGATTCTGCTCCTTCAGAGGTCAGGAAGCACAGAGGTGGCACTGGGTAGCAGTTTGGCAGCAGGGGTATGTCCTTCCCTGGTGACAGGGCCAGACACACAGAAGTGGTTCAAGCAACTCCTGCCTAGGGGCAGAGGGATGGCTGAAGAGAACAGAAAGGGCTGCCTCTAGGTTCCCAGATCAAAGAGACAAGCATGACAGGCAACAGGCGGTAAGCAGGGGAGGGGACTGAGCTCAGAAGTCACTCTGCAGCCAAGGTCAGAGCTTGTCCCCTCTACATTCTGTGAGTCTGTCCTGAGAGAGGGACACTGTCACCTAACAAGCTGCTGTAATCACACCTTTCCAAGAATTTTACCAGTCATGAGACTGGCTCTCGGTCTGGTTTGAGCTACTTACTGCCTGGTCTCTAAGTGGGTCGCATAATTCTCAGTAAGCCCCCTCACTTGTGCTGAGTGCCTATAATGTGTCACCCACCAGGTGGGATCATTGAAAGGGCAGGGAAAGGAGGGCATGGGGTAGGGGTAGAAACTCTAAACTAGTAGGTAGGGCACAATTCAGTATGAGTAAAGGGGAAATGAGTCTGAATAAGATTTAGTTTGCTACAGGGTGTGTGCTCTCCTGCTCTTGGAGAGAGGTAAGACTGAAAAAAAGGAAAAGCGAGAAATCACTCTCCCTCAGGGGAAATGGCCAGGCTGCAACCCCTTCTCCTCCATTCTCCTCTCGGGATTTTGGGCATGCACGTGTGCACGTGTGCCCATCCCCAGTCTGGGACTTGAATTATGCAGTTGGCCATGTGGGGTTCATCTGCCTTAACCTCCACTCCACCTGCTGGCCCCAACTTGGACTTAAAGGAGATAAAGTAGATTTTTCTTAAAGGCTAAAAAAAAATTTTTTTTTAAAATATGGAACTCTTCACGAATTTGCGTGTCATCCTTGTGCGGGGGCCATGCTGGTCTTCTCTGTATCGTTCCAATTTTAGTATATGTGCTGCTGAAGTGAGCACAAGGCTAAAAAATTTTTTGTTCAGTTTCTTTAGGGTCTCACCCTTCACTGGCAAGACCACCACTCCAGAATCCAGAGGGATTAGACGCAGTCACTCCACACCAGCCTGGCCAACTCTCCTTCTCACCTCACTATTAGCCCTGACATATCGCCTTGTCATCTAAATTGATGGGCGGGGGAGGGAGAGCAGAAGTTATTTTGTTGAATAACAGCTAATGTTACCTCTGAGTAAAATGCTTGGTATAACTTTGATTTGGGGAAAAGGGCAATCATCAGAAAACTGCTGGATCCATGGAAATGAACTGGGAGATGAGGAAGCAAGGAGCTTTTGAAGTCTATAAGAAGAGCAGCAACAACACTGGTGGAATCCTAAAGAGAAAAAGAGGGAGCGTCAGCAGGGAAGGCCATTTGCATGATTCCAGCCCTCAGACCAATCTCGGTGCAAGTATTTTCACATTACGTGGTTTACTAGCCTCAATAACAGATGTGCCTTCCAATATCCACTTATAGGACAAAGGAAGTACAAGAATCTTTTTTTTTTCCTGGGTCCAGCAGGTGGCGTGGTGGTTAAGGGTGCTAGGCTCCCACATAGCCAACCACGGTTCGAGTCCTGGACTTGGTGGCTTGCTTTCTTACTTTTAGTCTCTATCATTCTCTCTTATTCTGCCCTTTTCTGGTCAAATTAAAAATAAATAATAATAATTAAATAAAATAATAATTTTTTTAAAAAAGAATCTTTTCCCCTAAACTGAAAAGGTCACCTCAAAGCTCCTTCTAGGATATATATATTTTTTTTTTGGAGAGGTTTTTTGCCATAGGGCACGTGTGCTCACCAGACAGAGAGAGACAGAGAGAGACAGAGAGACAGAAAGCGAGAAATCACCCCCCAGGGGGGATGGCCACACTGCAATCCCTTCTCCTCCATTCTCTTCTCGGGATCTTGGGCACGCACGCACATGCGACCGGCATGAGATTTAAGCCACCGGGTTCGGGATGCAAACTGCAGTCGACTACGTGGGAATCCAGTGACATAGCCATTACGCGAACTGCTGGTCCCACTTCTAGGGTATTAATCCCTTATCAGATATATGATTTGCAAATATTTTCTCCCATTCAGTGAGTTAGTTTTTTTCACTCTCTTGATCCATATAATTTTATTATTATTAGTATCATTCTTCAACTAGATCAGAGAGAGACACTGAGAGAGAGAGAGAGAGATCATTTGAGAGCAAGTTGCCAGGTCCAGGCCTTGAACTATAGTTAGCACCTCAACCATGCCACCTGCCAGCCCCTGATGCACATGCTTTTTTCTTTTTTTGGGGGGGAGGTCTTTGCTACAGGGCGCATGCACTCACCAGAAAGACAGAGAGAGACAGACAGAAAGCAAGAAATCACCCCCCAGGGGGGATGACCACACCGCACTCCCTTCTCTTCTTGGGATCTTGGGCACACATGCACACACATCCGGCATGAGTTTAAGCCACCGGGTCCGGGACTCAAACTACGGTCAACTACATGGGAGTCTAGTGATATAGCCATTATGCCAACTGCTGGTCTGGTCCTTAATATTTTTTTTTAGAAAGTTTCTTTTTTTACTATAGGGCACGTATGCTCGCCAAAGAGAGAGGGAGACAGAAAGGGAGCAATCACCCCCCAGGGGAGATGGCCACACCACAATCTCTTCTCCTCCATTCTCCTCTTGGGATACTGAGCACATATGCACATGCGCCCAGTGTGAGTTTTAAGCCGCTGGGTCTGGGACTCAAACCACAGTTGACTACCTGGGAATTCAGCAATGTAATCATTATGCCATCTGCTGGTCCCCCATGTTTTTAATTTTGATAAAGACCACTTTATATATTTTTCCTTTCTTTCATTCATTCATTCACTTTACAGTACATGCACTTGTTGAAGAGATGCAGAGAGAGAGAGGGAAAGTGAGGAATCATCCAGAATCTTTCTCCAGCTGCTAGGGTTTGGACTAGAATGATGGTTGGCCATAGGGGATCCAGTCCCAAAGCGCTACATTTAGCCACTACACTACATAGCCAACCATACATATTTTCCTTTGTTACCTATACTATTGGGGTCATATCTAAGACCAAATCCAATGTCATAAATATTTTCCTGGGTCAGCCAGTGGCCTGGGGTTAAGGTAGTTAATTCCACATGGTTGACTGTGTGTTTGAGTCCTGAACCCAGTGGATTGAAAAACATATTTGATGTGTATGCATGTACTCAAAATCCTGAAAGGAAGAAGTAATGGAAAAGAAGAGATTGTGGCATGACTGTCTCACACAAGGGTGCTTTATCATTTTCTCTCTCCCTCTTTGTCTGTCTGATGTGCCTCTGACAAACTGAAAAAACTTCTCCGGGGCCAGCAGGTGGTGTGGAGGTTAAGGCGCTAGACTTCCAACATGGTCAACCGCAGTTCAAGTCCTGGACCTTGTGACTTGGACATCATGTTGGGTGCCTGTGATTGCATGCCCAAAATCCTGAGAGGAGAAAGGAGAAGGGACTGTGGCACTGCCGTCCACCCTTTGGGGGCAATCTCTCACTTTCCCTCTCTATCTCCAGGAAGCATATACCACCTGTGGCAAAAACCTTAAAAAGACTTCCTGTTTTCTTTGAAGTTTTATTATTTAGCTCTTGTTTAAGTCTCTGGCTCATTTTTAGTTAGTTTTAAATATATGGTATAAGGTAAGGGTCTAACTTCATTTAAAAAAATTTTTTTTTTTAATTTCTGGAGAGGTTTTTGCTACAGGACACGTGCACTCACCAGAAAGACAGAGAGAGACAGAGACAGAAAGTGAGAAATCACCCCCAAGGGGGATTGGCCACGCTGCAATCCCTTCTCTATTCTTCTCTCAGGACCTTGGGCACACACACACATGCCCAGTGTGAGTTTAAGCCACCAGGTCTGGGGCTCGAACCACGGTCAACTACATGGGAGTTCAGCGACATAGTCATTATTCCAAATGCTAGTCCCCATTTTTTTTTAAAAGAATTATGTAACTTTATTTATTTATTTTAATTTGACCAGAGAGGGACAGAGCAAGAGAGAAAAAGAAGGAAAGAGAGAAAGCAAGCCGCCAGGTCCGGGCCCGAACCACAGTCAGGCATGGGGTGAGTCCAGCACCCTTAACCACTACACCACCTGCTGGTCCCCACAACATTTTTTTGTTGTTGAAAATCAGCAAAGAGACAGGAACTGTTTTTTTTCTTTTCTAAATTAATTTCACATTTTACATAAAGTGCCCATCATGATGTATGTATTTTTTAAACAGAGAACTTTACCATTTTTTTAAAAAAAAGAATTATGTTTTTAAAATACTGGTTTTATTTAACTTTATTTTATTTATTTGTTTTTATTTTTTAATTTGACTAGAAATGGAGGGAGGCGAAGGGGAGTGAGAAAGCAAGCTGCCAGGTCCAGGACTCGAACTGCAGTCTGCCATGTGGGAGTCCAGTGTCCTTAACCACCACGCCACCTGCTGGCCCCAAGATTTACTTATTTATTTTGGAAAGGTTTTTGCTACAGGGCACGTGCGGTTGCCAGAGAGACAGAGAAAGAGAGACAGAGAGCAAGAATTCCCCCCCCCCCCCCGGGGGGGGGGGCGCGGGGGCCCCCTTCTCCTCCATTTTCCTCTCAGGATCTTGGGCACACATGCACACACACCCGGCATGAGTTTAAGCCAACGGGTCCAGGACTTGAACCATGGTCAACTACATGGGAGTCCAGTGACATAGCCATTATGCCAACTCCTGGTCCCTCAAGATTTATTTTTTTAAATAATTATTTTTACTTATTTACTCATTCAATAATTTAAAAAAAATATTTTTGACCAGACACACACACAGACAGAGACACACAGAGAGAGAGAGAGAGTGGAGAGAAAGTGAGAAAGCAAGTCACAAGGTCCAGGACTCAAAACCGTGGTTGGCCATGTGGGAGTCTCCAGTGCCTTAACCACCATGCCACCTGCTGGCCCTGAGAACTTTACTTTTATCTGTTAAAATGTTTCCTTTTGCACCTCTCATGCACCCTCTACCATCCACTCTCCCCTCTCTTACACTCTCTGGTATCTACACTTAACCTCTCTACTACCATACCATCAGATTTTTCCATTTCAGTCATAGAGTGCAGATATTTGGTACATATTGAGTGGGGATATCAGTGTATATCTTTCAAAGTCTGGGTCACTTTGCTCAAAATTAAGTCTTCTATATTCATCCACTCTGCATCAAACAATAAGGTTTCATTGCTTCTTAGAGTTAAGTAATGTCCTATAGTATGTGTGTGCCACAGTTTTTCAACCCAGTTCCCAGTTTTGAACACTTAGGATGATTCCATGTTTTAGCGATTGTGAATAATGTTGCAATAAACATGAATGTGCAAATGTCTTTCTGACTGTTTTCCTATTCTTTGGGTAAAGGCCAAGGAGTGGGATTACTGAGTAATAGAGTAGTTTTATTTTTGGGTTGTACTAATTTACATTCCTAACAACAATGTAAGAGGTTCCCTTTTCACCACAGCCTTGTCTGCACTTGTTCTTATTTGATTCTAGCCCTTCTAACTGGGGTAAATAGTACCTCATGGTGTGTTTTTAAAAAGATATTTATTAAATTTTATTATTATTTTAAAAAAATCTGAATAGAGACATGGAGAGAGAGGGAAAGTGAGAAAGCAAGCTGCCAAGTTGGGAGTCAAACAGTGGCCGGTCATGTGAGAGTACAACGCTTCAACTACCATGCCACCTCCTAGCCCTCCTCAATGTGGTTTTAATTCGTATTTCTCTTACGTGAAGAGACTGAACATTTTTTCATACGTCTTCAGCCATTCATAAGTCTTCCTTGGAGAGCTGTCTTTTCGATTCATTAGCCCATTTTAAAATTGCATTATTCACTTTTTCTTTTATGGGTGAGCTGCTTGAGTTCCCCATATATTCTGGTTATCAATCCCTTGTTCGAGAAATAATTTGCAAATATCTTCTATTCTGACGGTTATCTTTTCACTCTAATTACTGTTTCCTTTGCTGAGAGAAAGCTTTTAAGCTTGATGTAGTTCTACTTGTCAATTTTGGGAATTACTGCCCGTGCTTTAGGGATCTTTATGAAATCTTTGCCTACTCCAATGTCTCTAAGAGTTTACCCTTTTTCTTTTCTTTTTTAAGAATTATTTACTGGCATTATGTTGTTTTTCTTTCTTTTTTTTTTTTTCAATTTGCTATAGGGTATATGCATGAGAGAGAGAGAAAGAGAGAGAAAGCAAACCACAAATTCTGGAATTTGAACTGTGGTAGCCATGATAGTCCAGTGGCTTACCCACTACACTACCTTCTGGTCCCATCCCCTAAGTTTCCTACTAG